TAGATAGATAGATAGATAGATAGATAGATAGATAGATAGATAGATAGATAGATAGATAGATAGATAGATAGATAGAGTGTCTTGAAGGATCAAGTCATACCACGTTTAGTTTGCAGAAATGCAAACCTGAAGGCTTTCTCCAGTGAAACATGAAAACTCAGCATGCTGCAGGCCTTTCTTCCCTACAGAACAGTATAAAATATTCAGATGCTCACACTGCTGCACCTGCCCTCATAAAGCACAGGCCCCTGCACTACTATACTGCTACATTTCATCATTTCACTCAGGCACCTCTTTAAAAAAAAACACTCACGCTTTTCTCAAGCGACATGTATTGTTTCTGTTAATTTGACTAAATGAAAGGAGAGGTCTAAAACTTTCCTCGGGAACCTTCTCCGCACAAAGGAGCATCCATCATCCATCCCGATCGCACCTGAACGCAGCAGGTTAAATTGAGGGCGCAAAGATTAGCCGCTGCGGGGATGTTTGCGCGCAAAAAACACGCAGAGAGCGTCAACTTACCGCGTTTGTTTTCTTTTTTTAAAGCCAGCGTCTCTTCCTCAGTCCGGCGTTGCGCACGACTTGACAGGATCCAAACTCCAGGTGAAATATCCTGGTCCCCCTTCCTCCTCCTCCTCCGCCTCCCTCCCCCTCCATGCAAGAAGATCCCCGGGCGCTCGTGGTCGACGTCGCGAGCGGAGGTGATGGTTGAAGTGAGGCGGAGAAGGCAAAATTTAAAAAATAAAAAGAATTTAAAAAATAAAAGCAGCGGCTCGTATCCAGCACCAACGTCCCCCTTGTGTTTATTTATTTATTTTTATTTTTTACATCCCTTTAAGCCCAGCGGGGACAGGCAGGCGTCCTCCTACATCACGGTCCCGTCCGAGCTGGAAAAACCCAAACCACCTCTTCCACACCAAAAATTAAAAAATAAAAATAAAAAGAAGAAGAATATCCAGGAGAATTTCTGAAAGAACACAGGAGGGTTTTTCCAGAGAAAAGCTCCACAGGAAGGGTTTAAAAAAAGACAAAAGAAGTTACTTGCGTCCCCCAGTTAAAAAAAAGGCAAAAAAAGAAAAGAAAAGGAAAAGCTGGAGCTTTCGGCGACTATGACAAACCCAACTGTGCGCACTGGCTGGGAGTAAATCAGTATGAAGCTCGGAGAGGAGAGCCACAGAGGAAGGTGAGGGGAGAAGTCAGGACGTGGACTGCCGCTCTCTCAGGATGCTTCAGCGCCACCTAGCAGCGGACAGGAGAAGCGCCTCCCTGCTGTCTGTGTGCCTGAGGCTGCAGACCTGTTAGATTACAGCCTCTGACTGCAAGCATCCAGTGAAACCACTGCTGCTTCTTCCTGCACTACATGCTCAGTCTTCACAATTTAAAACAATAAATAATGAAAAATCTGATCAATTAAGAAAATGTAGATTTAAAACCTGACCTCTGAATAATCTGGTCATTTTGAAGTCAAGGCTGTCAAACAGTTTAGTTTATCAGGATATGGTTGCTAACTTGAATTAATAATAATAATGAAACAATAATAAAAAAATTTGGTGCAGAGGAAGAATAAACTGTTGTGAGACATAGGGCCTGTTTGTGCTAATTTCAAATGCAAAAACAGGATTTGGTGTCAGTTTTGGTACCTTTAGTTTGTAATGGGCTAGTTTTAGCATTCACTTAGCTTTTTGATGCTTTTAGCTACAGTTTTTACTTTCAGCTGGCATTTTTTTTTACTTTTTAGCTAATGTTCTTTTTAAACTTTTAGCAAGTGTTTTACTTCTTTAAGCAAGTATTCTGCTTTTTTAGGGTTTAGCTGGTAAACTGTACATTTTAGCTAGTGTTCTGTTTAGGTCTTTTGCTTCATTTACCCTTAAACTTGTGTTTTGCTTATTTAAGCTTTTGGCTTTCATAGCTAGTGTTCTGATTTTTTGTTTGTTTGTTTTTTTTTAGCTGTTCTGTATATTTTAGCTAGTGTTCAGCTTATTTTAGGTTTTAGCTCGTGAGCTGTCTATTTTAGCTATTTAACATTACGCTTGTTTTGCTTTTTGGCTAATGTTCTGTATATTTTAGCTAGTGTTCTGCTTATTTTAGCTTTAAGCTTATGTTTCAAATATTTTAGCTTGTGCTCTGTTTAGCTATAGTGTTCTGCTTCTTTTGGTTTTAGCTTTTTTGTATATTTAAGCTAATGTTCTGCTTCTTTTAGATTTTAGCTGGTGATTTGTCTATTTTTGTTTGTCTTAGCTCACATCTTGCTTATTTTGGGTTTTAGCTGGTGATCATTGTGGCTATAGTGTTTTGTTTCATTTAACTTTCAGCTTCTACAGCATTCAGTGCTGCATTAAAAGTGTACTTTCTCTACTTTGTCTAATATACTGAGATAATAAATTTAAGAATTGTGTCTAGTTTATTAGATAAAAGGTAAACAAAACAATGTACTAAGTAGCTTCAACTAACCAAAGTATATTCCTGTGTTCAGCATATTTTCCTGCAGAGTAAAATCATGATTCTTCCATCTGAATTGCTACTTTAAAAGTTGAGATGTGCTTTCATGAGTTAAAGGTGAACTAAAATGAATTAAATCAGAGCTCGGACAAAAATCCATGAACTCATCCATTGACCTTCGAACACCACACCAGCTGCAGCACATCTCCAGCTGGAGCCAAACAGCATTCACCCCCCTTAATCATCACATAGCCGATTAATCATGTTAATAATTCCTAATTACAGTCAAACAATACGTAATCATCCAATCACACATCCAGTGCTCCGCTAATGAGCCAACATGTGGGTGCAACCCTTTTTTGTTGCAGCATTTTCCATTTAAAAAGAAAGGGAAAAAATACACGCCTTGAACTCCTGCACAGATTGATGAAAAATAACTACCTGTCTGCTTTTGAAAATATGAGGTCCTATCTCCTCCTGACACCACTTTCCACTTACAAAATGATTTTTTTTCCAGGTAGAGTGCTGACCAAAGGCTGTTGACCAAAAGTGGAAACTACCTCGTTATTTTTAATTTTTTTTTATTATTTGTTACTTAAATTACTGTCAAATGTACTGTTGTAAAATGAGCCCTGGTTACGTGACTTCACACACAAGATTATTTTTTAAACTATATCAAAGAAGAACAGGTAGCTAAACACTAAAAATACATCCATATGCTGACTCATGTTGTCATTGAAACGCTTAATCAAAACCTCCAATAAGCCCATCTGGTTGAAGATTTTAATGTGTATGATCTAAAGGACTTTCAGGAGAGTAAATTTTTGACAACATATCCAGGTTTGATGCCCTCTGACATTTCCAGGAGTTTTTTTTATATATTTTGTTAACTTTCTAAGAAGAAAAGCCACCATGGCAGAGACATTGGGCCCCCAGCCAAAGCCAAAAGGGCAGCAATACCCCAAAAAGCCAACTTCTCATTCCAAGTACTCAGATATGATTATAGCAGCTACTGTTCACAAYGCCAGCTGGAGAAAAGTGTCCTATCCTGTCAGTCCATTCAGACGTACATGAGGAAAAACTAAAAGTGACAACGCCGACATCCAGGTTAAAATGGTCCTGAAAAGGGTGGTGGTGTCCAGGATGTTACACCACACCAAAGGCATTGGTGCGTCTAGCTCCTTCAGGCTCACCAAGCCAGAGGACTCCTTCAAGAAGCCGACCAAGGCGGTGACCTTCAAGCCCAAGAAAGTGGCCAAACCCAAGAAGGCGAACAAACCCAAAAGGTCACCAAGATGCAAGAAGGTCCAAGAAGGCTGTGGAGTAGAAAGTGAAAATGGTTGCAAAGAAGGTGACCTCGCCAAAAACCGAGAAGGTGACCCCAACAAAAGCTAAGAAGGTGACCCCAACGACAGCCAAGAAGGTGACCACAACGAAAACCAAGAATGCGACCCCAACAAAAGCAAGAAGGTGACCTCAACGAAAGCCAAGAAGGCGACCCCAACGAAAGCCAAGAAGGTGACCCCAACGAAAGCCAAGAAGGCGACCCCAATGAAAGCCAAGAAGGTGACCTCAACGAAAGCCAAGAAGGTGACTTCAATGAAAGCCAAGAAGGCTACCCCAACAAAAGCCAAGAAGGTGACCTCAACGAAAGCCAAGAAGGCAATCCCAACAAAAGTCAAGAAGGTGACTTCAATGAAAGCCAAGAAGGTGACCCCAACAAAAGCCAAGAAGGTGACCCCAACNGACCCCAACGAAAGCCAAGAAGGTGACCCCAACAAAAGCCAAGAAGGTGACCCCAACAAAAGCCAAGAAGGTGACCCCAACGAAAGCCAAGAAGGCGACCCCAACGACAGCCAAGAAGGCGACCCCAACGATAGCCAAGAAGGCGACCCCAACGACAGCCAAGAAGGTGACCCCAACTAAAGCCAAGAAGGTGACCTCAACGAAAGCCAAGAAGGTGACCCCAACGACAGCCAAGAAGGTGACCACAACAAAAGCCAAGACGGTGACCACAACGAAAGCCAAGAAGGTGACTCCAACAAAAGCCAAGAAGGTGACCTCAATGAAAGCCAGGAAGGCGACCCCAACAAAAGCCAAGTAGGTGATGTCAACGAAAGCCAAGAAGGCTCTGGTGAAGAAGCCCAAGACAGCCAAGCCCAAGGCGGCCAAGCCCCAGGCATAACCCATGAAAAAAGCCCCCAAACACAAGGCAAAGACACCCAAGAAGGCAGCCAAGTCATCAAAAATGTGAAAGGACATAATGAAATTAAAGTAACTGTAAACACTGTAAAATGTTTTTCTTTATGTATTATTTTKGTAAGGTCTCATTAAAATGTCAGCTGTTTGTACCGGTTGTTTTCTCTCCATTGAAATATAGCATTCATAAGCTGTAGGGCAAAAAAGGATTAACTAAAGGTGAGATTTTTGTTTTTACATAAATCAAATATGTCTGTCCAAATAGAGTCCAATTTGTCAACACAACTGGACACCAACCTCCAAAGGACTGTAGATCCTCCACTGAGGTTCTAAAAAAAACCACACACACGCACACACACATACACAAAGCAAATTTTTCCCATACTTCTTCTTCATTTACATCTAAAAAGAAAAAAAAAACACAAACAGTAGAAGGATATTAAAGCTTTTTACTTACTTTTGAAGAATAATATGGCCTCCACCATGAACCAAATCCAAGTGATTGACAGCTTGGTGGCCAAGCAGAATGGCCAATCAGATTTCAAGAGTAGCCAGTGCCACCCCCAGTCACCCCTGTGGACACATCCCTGTCAAAGACATGAGAAATGTTTAAACGATTTTAAAAGTACAGATTTTTAAGGGATCATTAACTGTAATTAAAACACTCCAACTAAAAAATATATAAGCTTTGTGGGTTTTTTTTAGTTAACTGGTTTATATATTTTTTTCAAACTACTATGGTAAATTTTTCTGTGGAAAGGACTTGTGTCTGCTCGCACATGTGAAGAGTCACGTGTCGAGATGAACCCACAGAGAGCTCCCTTTTGAGTCAGCACATTTACTCAGGTTCACTGTATGAATTTTAATAAGATCATCTATCTATGTTGGTTTCAGTCTCACTACTGTCTGGTTTTGTACTATAAATCAGCTTTATTTAAACCATAAAACAAGTCAAATTCAATCTTACAGCCAACCAAAGCTGATACTGTATTTGTTACTGCTATGTAACACAAACCATCTTTCAGTACCTCGGCGTTCTTTCATAGTGAATGTAAAGATTTTCCAACATTGATCCCAGTAATCCTTCAATCTGAGATTGTAAATAATTGGGTGCAGCCATGATGAATATGTCTTCCATCACTGACGGCAGTGTTTATATCACAAGTCCTGCCCCTTATTGATTCAGGGGAAAAATGACACTGATGAGCTCAGCAGGATGCTTCAGACAGTCGAATCATCAATACAAAATAAAGATTGAACGCTGTGAGCAATACAAGACAAAATAATAGAAATACTGAGTATATTTTTGCTCCAAAAACATTTATTTTCGGCATTTATCTTGAAAGGATCTATAAGGGGAGAAAAATCTAATTTAAAACTGCCTTTTTTCAAATATAAAACAAACGTAACCGGCCAGGAAGTTAAATAACGGAAGGGGCCACACCTTAGGGCCACATAGAGCTGTGCTCTTACTCAAATGTAATACAGCTGCTATTTTAAAAAGGTTTAT